AGAATTCATTACTTCAGTAGTTCCATTGCAGCTGTGACTTGGAACTTTTCGGGCAAGTGTTTTAATGTAAATATCACCGTAAGCCATGTGTTGAGCATGCTGGCTGGTCAAGAGGAAAATTTTGCTCATCAATAGGTGGGAAGTCCTTGGAGTGTGTTGTGTCGAGAGCAGATGCGTTTTTCCCAAGCCGCACTCTGTGCCGTGCGGAGCCCTCTGGTGCTTGGCGCCGGGCGTGCGTTCAGTGGGGAGTTTCCACCACAGAGGGAATTATTCTTTCCCACACTGCTGAGCGTCTGGGATGTTTATTTTGGAAACAGATACACTTGTTACTAAAAAAACAATCTGAGAATTATGTTTCTTCTTAGGGAGTTAAATTCTTATGTTCCATGAAAAAATATCTTGGTGATCACTTAGCTCAAGAATTGCCAAGTGCTGGTGACCCATTTCTGATGCTTCTTTTCGGATGACTTAGTCTTCCGTTCTGAGTTTATCAGTTGCCTTGAGCGAGTAGGTTACCGTATGGCTAAATAAACGTTGCTGTGCTAGCTTTAGAGAGTTTGGCAAGGTACAGCGGACAGAGTACAGCCTTGGCATCTGGAAGTGTCAAGGTCTGAGTCCTGGCTCATCCGTTTACTTTGTGGCCTTGGACAAGTCACCTGACTGCTCTACTCTGGTTCTGCTTTTCCTCGTGTGCGAAGCGTCATGCTGGGGTGTTACTGGGCTATTGGAGAATGAGAAACAGTGTTGAGTGCACCTAGCACCGTACCTGCCAGTCAACTGGTAGGGTCAGCCCGGAGCTCAACCTTGCCCTTGGTTGGACTCCCTGAAGCAGGTCCGTTCCTGAAGGAATGCTTTTGCTTCTTCCTCCTTCAGCTGGAGCTGTCAGTCTATTGACCCACCGAAATGATTATATTGAGTAACACTCTTAAATTCCACTGTTCACCTTACTTGGTCTTTCTTGTGATGACATAGAGGTCTAGTTCTCACCCTCGTTAGACTCCGTAAACTATGTAGTCCATGATCGCCCTCCTAACCAGGTACACTACTCAGTTTGAAGAAGGAAAGGGCTAGTGTCTGTGGGTGGGTCCACAGGAGGCAGACATTCTAGCCAGAGGAAGGCGGCCATCTCCGGTGTTTGATTAGATAGACCCTTGCCGTCGTGAAAACCTAGTTCTACTTCTTCCAGTACCTTTTCACCATAGTAACCACTGTCAGTCCGTGGGTCTCGTAGACAGAGCGCTCCTGTAGTAAGTTTGAAAGTGATGCCACCTACTGGAGCCATGTGAGCTCACGGAGTAAGTGTGCTAGCCGGTCACCAAGTCGAACTCCGTCAGGAAGCTGCCTTGGGGAAAAAGGCATGTGCATTTTTTTTCAATATTAACTTTTTTTTTTTTTTAACTTTTTGCCACAGGACACACACACTTACCAGAGATAGAGATAAAGAGAGAGAGGAAGAGAGAGAGAAGGAAGGTGAGAAGTCACCCCCTCAGGGATGGCTATCCCCCTCAGTCCTTTCTCCTCCATTCTCCTCTTGGGATTGGATGAGGTAACAAAGTGTTTTTTTGTTTTGGTTTGGTTTTAAGATTTTTACCATAAAATTTTTTAACCATAAGGCATGTGTGCTCTCCTGGGAGAGACAGAGAGAGGAAAAGTGAGAAATCATTGAAAGTTTTAAACAGCGGTTTTGTTTGTTTGTTTTTTCAAGATACTTTATTTTGAAACGGGTCACGACACTAAGCTTTTGACCCCTTCTGCCCTGTGCAAGCTACAAATGCTTGCTTGGCAGCTGGGGGGCACTCTTTAGTAGCGTGTTTGAAAAGTGAATAAAAATCCATACAAAACATGTATTCAAATAGTTTCCGTATAAACAGCAGATTTTTGTTTTGTTTTGTTTTTTAAGAGAAATTTTTATTATAGGGTGTGTGCCTGCCAGAGAGACAGAGAGAGAAAGAAAGAGACAGAAAGCAAGAAATCACCCCCAGGGGGGATGGCCACGCCACAATCCCTTCTCCTCCATTCTCCTCTTGGGATTTTGGGCATGCACACACACGCATCTGGTGTGAGTTTTAAGCCACCAGGTCCAAGACTCAAACCACAGTCAACTACGTGGGAGTCTAGCGACGTAATCTTTACACTATCTACTAGTCCCATTAAGCAGCAGTTTTTAACTTTTTTGGAATTTTTTTTTTTTTTGGAGAGGTTTTTCCTGTGGGGTGCGTGCACTGGCCAGACAGGCTGACAGAGACATAGAGACAGAAAGCAAGAAATCACCCCCAGGGGGGATGGCCACGCCACAATCCCTTCTCCTCCATTCTCCTCTCAGGCTCTTGGGCATGCACGCACATATACCCAGCGTGAGTTTAAGCCGCCGGGTCCGGGACTCGAACCACGGTCGACTACGTGGGAGTCCAGTGACATAGCCATTACGCTAACTGCTGGTCCCTTTGAAATATTTTTTCAAGTTTATTTCTTCCATGAGAGAGAGTGTCAGGGTAAGGTCAGGGGGTCAGGTAGGAGACAGAGAAAGAGAGGGAGAGAGAGAGCGAGACAAGCACCCCCAGCAGGGTCTCACGCCATGGTCTTACCCAGCCAGCCGGGATCACAGGCATATATGTGTGGACCTGACATGTTCAGGGACACACCGGGGCACAAACCCAGGACCCTCCATATGGCCTCAGCATCTCAGAGCATTGCATTTGCACTGTGCCACCACACTCAACCCATGTTAACTGATTTTGATCGAAATCTGCCTCAGTGTATTGTACATTTTCTTCTGGACAGGAACTGTATGGATGGTGCTTTTGATGCTTTCTATTCCCTCCATTTTGATGCTCTTTTAATGTAGTTGTCTTTTCCTTCTAGCTTATGTTACCCTCTGGACTGGCTTTCTTTTCATGTGCAAACATTGTTAATTTTCAATTTCTGGTAACTCTTTATTTTTTAGTTTTATTTTTTTAGAGAGATTTTTGCTATAGGGTATGTGCGCTCACCTGAGAGACAGAGAGGCAAAGGGAGAAATCACCCCCCGGGGGGATGGCCATGATGCAATCCCGTCTCCTCCATTCTCCTCTCAGGATTTTGGGCACACAAACACATAGGCCCAGCCTGAATTTAAAAAAAATTTTTTTTGGAGAGGTTTTTGCTATAGGGCGCGTGCGCTCACCAGAAAGAGACAGAAAACAAGAAATCACCCTCTGGGGGGATGGCCACGCCACAGTCCCTTCTCCTCTGTTCTCCTCTCAGGATCTTTAGGCACGTACACACGGGCCTGGCATGAGTTTAAGCCTTCGGGTCTGGGACTTGAACCTTGGTCGCCTACATGGGAGTCCAGCGACATAGCCATTACACCATCTGCTGGTCCCCAGAACTTGTGTTTTTATAAGCAGTTAATTCGCTTTGTGAAGTCTTTGTAAATAGTAAGGCATACAGAGTCTTCGTTCCAGTACTCAGTTGTGAACGTCTCGCTAAGGCTTACTGTTCATGGAGCAGCAAGTGCTGTGGTGATTAAGGTGCTGAATTCCTCCTTGGACAGCCACAGAGTCCTGGACCCAGCGGCTGGGAATCGCAACAAAGAGGGACCAACAGATGACGTAAAGGTTATGTCACTTGACTCTCACGTAGTCGACCACAGTTCAAGTCCTGGACCTGGTCATGCCAGACACTTGTGCATGCATGCCCAAAATCCCGAGAGGGGACTGGAGGAGAGGGGATCCCAGTGTGATCATCCCCTAGGGGGTGATTTCTCCCTTTCTGTCTCTGTCTCTCTGGCACATGCCCTATAGCAGAAATCTTTCTCTCAAAAAAAAGAAAAGAAAATCACAACAAATAGATAAATGAATAAATAAATGTTTTTTAAAAGGGACTTTTTGTTTGTATCTACTGAGATTATAAAACTAAAAAGAAGAGAATCTTTATAATATTAAAAAGACTGGACATGAGCTTACTCTGACCAGGACCCTGAACACGATTCCTACAGATAGTGGGTAAGTGTTGCTTAGGTACAGACCGTGCTCAGGAAATGGGGGACAGGTACATTGTGGTAGGAGGAGCCCTTTTTGAGGGATGATCAGAGGAGTTATCTGACGGATAGAAGCACGATCTTTTTTGTTGTTTGGTTTTTGTCTTTTTGTTATGGGGCACACACGCTTCACAGAGAGACAAAGACAGTGAGGACAGTGAAAAATCATCCTCCTGGGGTATGGCCATGCCACAATCCCTTCTCCTCCATTGCATACCTAAAGGACTTTGTTCTAGCTCACAGGTGAATTTTCATGCTTTAGGCCTAGGCCCACTGAATTACACTTCCTAGAGAAACCCCCTGAGATTTGGGGTACATACACACATGTGTCCGGTGTGAGTGTCAGGGCTGCTGGGTCCAGGACTTGAACTGCAGTCAACCATGTCAGAGTCCAGCACCTTAACCACCACGCCACATGCTCACCACAGTCTGGTGTTTCTTTTTTTGTTTGTTTTTTGTTTGTTTGTTTTTTGTTGTAGGGCACCTGCGCTCCCCAGAAAGAGAGAGAGAGATATAGAAAGCAAGAAATCACACACCCCCCCGGGGGGGATGGCCACGCTGCAATCCCTTCTCCTCCATTCTCCTCTCAGAATCTTGGGCACGCATGCACACACGCCCGGCGTGAGTTTAAGCCACCAGGTCCAGGACTTGAACCATGGTCGACTACATGAGAGTTCAGCGACATAGCCATTACACTAACTGCTGGTCCCAGTCTGGTATTTCTTCAACAGTGAAGAAATACTGAGTTGAAGAGGAAGGGCAGGTGATGACAGGTAGTCAGAAAATCAAACAAAGCGTTTTAAATTAAAGAATGTAGCTCCATGACACTCCATGATTTTCTGCTTACAGGCCTCCAAAGGCTCCTTCAGACATGCCGAGTTGTCCCTCTTCACTGACTGCAGTTACTGACTGCTGCCTTTTAAGACAGCATTGCCCCCGGTGTTGTCATCTGTTACCATTTCTTCTATTCTTCCCTTTCAAGGAGACCTCTTTGCCGCCACTTTCCTCATTAAGAATGGAGCCCTGGTCAACGCTGCAACGCTGGGTGCCCAGGAGACACCTCTGCACCTCGTGGCGTTGTACAGTTCAAAGAAGCACTCGGCGGATGTGATGTCGGAGATGGCGCAGATTGCAGAGGCGCTCCTGCAGGCCGGCGCCAACCCCAACATGCAGGACAGCAAGGGCAGGTACGTCGGAGAGCAGACAGGCCACTCCCCCACGGTTGGTAATGGGCACACGAGGACTTCAGGTGCTTTATAGCCTGGCATTGTTCCGTCTGATTTTTACTGATGTCACAAATATTGATTTGACACTCTGCAAATGAGTGTCATAGCTAAGGCCAGAGGCGTTCGGGGAAAACATTTCTATCCTGGGTAACTGAAGTCCTTGGGCCTCTAAGCAGGGTCTGTCATCTTCATATTGGGAGGAACCAGAGTGGTCATCTAGCCCAGCTCCTCCGAGGGAGCCCTCCTTAGAGTTGCTAGGGTGGTTCAAAGGAGAAGTACGCGCTAACTCAAGGCAGTCTGTTTTATTTACGAAGGCTAGTCTTTAGAAAATTCTCTCTAATAAATCCAATTCTGACTTCTTGTAAATACTCTTTCTTTTTTCTTCTTTTCTTTTTTTAGGTTTTGCTATAGGGTATATGCACTCTCCAGACAGAGGTAGAGAGAGAGGGGAGGGAAAGTGAGAAATCACCCCCGGGGGTATGACCATGCTGCAATCTCTTCTCCTCTGTTCTCCTCTCAGGATTTTGGGCACGCACGCACATGCTCCTGTCATGATTTTTAAGCTACTGGGTCCAGGATTTGAACCATGAAGTTGACTATGTGAGATCCAGCACCTTAACCTCCATGCCACCAGCTGACCAGTGCTCTCACTTTCTGTGCACAGCTTGCTACCTTCACAGACTGCTACTTAGCACAGCCCTTTGCATATCAGACAGTTTTTATTGTGTTTGGTTTTTTTTTCCTATTCCCAGAAATACTTATTTAGTTTATTTGTTTTAGAGATTTTTGCTATAGGGCATGTGTGCTTGCTGGAGAGACAGAGAGACAGAAAGCAAGAAATCACCTGCTGAGGGTTGGCCATGCCACAATACCTTCTCCTCCATCCTCCTCTCCGGATTTTGGGCATGCACACACATGTGCCTAGCATGAGTTCCAAGCCACCAGACCTGGGACTTGAACCACAGGTGGTCTTATAGGAGTCCAGCAACGTAACCATTACACTGCTGCTGGTCTCTTCCCAGAAATATTTAGTTAAGGATTCCTTGTGGTTTAGAATTTAGGAAAGGGCTTCTTGTCCTTGGGACTGCAGTTTGGGTAACTCTGAAGGTGGTTAAGCTGCCTCAAGCACCAACCACATGGGAACAGTGCATTATCTTACACCTTTAAACCTCTCATAAAGAAAAGATTTCTGGGGACCAGCAGATGGCGTAATGATTATGTCGCTGGACTCACATATAGTTGACCATGGTTCAAGTCCCGGACCCAGTGACTTAAAATTCACTCTGGGCATATGTGCATGCTTAAAATCCCAAGATGAGAATGGAAGAGAAGGTATTGCGGTGTGGCCATCCCCCCTGCAGGGAGTGATTTCTGGCTTTCTATTTCTCTGTCTCTTTCCGTCTCTCCAGCAAGCACATGTGCCCTATAGCAAAAATCTCATTTAAGAAAAAAAAAAGAAAAGAAAAAAGATTTCTGTGGAGTTTGGTTGTCTGAGTGGGAAAATGGATCTGTGTGATGGGATAAAGTACTTCAATGAGTTAGGTCTCCATAAACTGTATCATGTGATTATTACCTGATTTCCCAAAAATAATTGTGTCTTGGGACCAGCAGGTGGTGTGCTGGTTAAGGCATTGGACATTCCCACATTGTTGACCATGGTTCAAGTCCTGGACCTGACGGCTTACTTTCTCTCCTTCCCTCTCTTTCTCTGTGTCTCTCTCTCCAGTCAAATTAAAGTAAATGAATAAATAAATTTAAAAAAAAAATTTAAATGCATCCTTTCCTCCCTAAATGGTTCTTTAGTATTTTTTTTCCCCACCACTGCAGCAAAGTCTGTCAGACTGTCCATCTGCAGTAAATGCCAGCCTCAGTGGCCTTGTTCTCTGCAGCGATGGTTTCCTTCAGGGCGTTTGAGTGCTAACTAACAGCAGTGAGGCCAGCAGGTGGTGAGGTGGTGTAGTGCTTGCTCCCACATGACTGAACACGGTTTGTTTCCTAGACCTGGGGTCTTGAAAACTCACACTGGGCAGGTGGGCATGTGTGCCCAGAAATCCCAGGAGGAGAATGGAGTAGGGATTGTGGCCTGGCCATCTCCCCTGTGGACGGTGATTTCTTGCTTTTCTTCTCACTCTCTCTCTGGTGAGCACACAGATTCTATGACAAAAAAAACCCTTTAAATAAATAAGTAATAAAATGTAAAAATAACATCAGGGAAGTGGGGTTAAATGCTCCTTTTATCAGTTGTACCTATTGCTACTCTGTGTTTGAGTATAACAAAATTATGGGGAAGAAAAATCGTCTTTTCAGAATTGGTGGAGGAGAATAGACCTCTGGCAAAAACTCTCACTGAAAACAAAGTAAGAACTAGTGTATACACATTCAGTAAGGGACACTGTTGGATTGGAAAGTATTTCATATTTTCTCTTTTTATCGAGTCCTGTCCTTTCTGGCCACTGCATAAATGGTAATATATAAGCAAATCCATTTTCCTGTTTCAGAGCTTGGTCACAGTTTTGGAAAATTGTTGCAGAAATGCGGAGTGTTTTTTGTGGATGGCAGTTCTGCCTACGGTTCTTGTTGTCTCCTGCTGTGAGTTGTCCTGAACATTGGGGCTGTCCTGAACTGACACCTCTTCTTCTTCACCTTGCAGGACTCCTTTACACTTGTCCATCATGGCCAGGAACGAATATGTGTTCAATCAGCTGCTGCAGTGTAAACAGTACGTAGGGAGACGCAGAGAGACGCAGAACGGCCGCGAGGGGGGGATCGTGAGTGAGAATGTGCTTTAAATTATTTTTTAATGTCCTAAGTTGTAATGATTAAATGTCAAATAAAATGTTGTTATCCGAAAAGTATAAAGAGAACGAGGCTGCTGGCAGCAGATCGCTGGAGGCAGATTCTGTTTGCCGTTCACATGCTCCTTATTTCAGGTTAGACTTAGAGCTGAAAGACCACGAGGGCAGTCCGGCTCTGTGGCTCGCAGTGCAGTACATCACCGTGTCTTCCGACCAGTCCGTCAACCCCTTTGAGGAACTCCCTGTGGCCAACGGGACGTCATTTGATGAGAACAGCTTTGCGGCCAGACTCATCCAGCGGGGCAGCAACACCGACGCACCGGATACGGTGTCAGGTAAAGCCCCGCGATCCCGCAGAGGCTCCCCGAAGTAACGTGGAGTGCTGTTACCAAACTTCAGAAAGCAGGTGTCTTACCTTCGTGGGAATTACTTTGTACTTAACTTAAAAGACAGCGAAAGCCTGGGTTGATTTTTTTTTTTTTTTTTAATTCAGTGCTTCTAACACTTGAGCCAGACATCAGTGAAATCTTTCAAGCTTAAACACTTCTATGTTTATTCAGGGCAGTGATTTTCAGACTTTTTGGACTCAGAATACCCTTTACCCTCTTAAAAACTATATCCTAAATAACTTTCGTTCAGGTGAATTACATGTCTGATATTTACCATATCAGAAATTAAAACTAAGAAAAAACTTAAAAGCTGTATTTAATTTAATGACAGTAATAACCCCTTATTTGTTAACATACAACATTTTTATGAAAAATGTCTATAAAACCAAAATTGAGTTGAAAGAGTGAGAGACTGGTTTCTTTTTTTTTTGGAGAGGTTTTTGCTATAGGGCGCATGCGCTCGCCAGACAGACAGAGAGAGACCGAAAGCGAGAAATCACCCCCCAGGGGGGATGGTCACGCCGCAATCCCTTCTCCTCCATTCTCCTCTCGGGATCTTGGGCACACACGCACACACGCCCAGTGTGAGTTTTAAACCACCGGGTCCAGGATGTGAACCACGGTTGACTACGTGGGAGTCCAGCGATATAGCCATTACGCTAACTGCTGGTCCCTAGACTGGTTTCTTATGTCTACATCTGTATTTCATTTTTGTAAAAAGAATTATTTATTTAATTTTATTATTATTATCTTTTTTTTTTTTTTTTGGAGAGGTTTATTTTGGCTATAGGGCATGTGAGCCAGACAGAGAGTGACAGAGATACAGAAAGTGAGAAATCACCCCCCAGAG